ATGACAAGTGTGTGATGTTTGAGTATTTATACAGAGTCGCTTAAATTAAACCCTGGACTAAAGAAAGATAATGGCACGGTTGTTTTAAGTGACAGATGGGTGCAGTTTCATCATGTTTAGCTTTCAGTTTAAAACAATAGTTGTTCAGCCTGTTTTTTGCTTCACAAGTTTGTATCACAATGAAATGCAGATTTAAAATATGCTAGCTATTAGCGCTACTTAGCTGCCCAGCTAAAATTTCATGGTCATGTCAGGTTTAAAAAACAAAACAAAACAAAACAAAACAAAACAAAAAAAAAAAACAACAACACAACAGCAGCCCCCCCTAAATGCTAATCTCCCTAAAACAGGACTTTTCATATTTTAAAGACAGTTCTAGATGCTTTCTGTTCATGTCAGTACTGTTTGACTTAATAAGAAAATATCTTCTCAAGCCATTCATGTGAAGGCATTAAAATGTACAGTTTAGCACAAAGCCTCTAAACATGAAGGAAACAGGCGGCCATGGTTGTCACTAACGTTTGGAACGCGGGAAGTTTTCAGCACATTTCTCTGTCAGGCTGTCAGACTGCTAAACAACTTAACAACTTCTGCTATACCAGCACACCCATGACTCCAGCAAAGAATAGCTTAAGTTTGCATGTGGCAACACTAAAGAGGCATCTCCACAAAACAGGTATCATTTAAAGAAAGGTGGGACGAGAGGTGGTTGACTCTTACGCAACTTTTAAATGTGTCGTTTAATTTTTATGTCTTCACTCATTGAGCTGATGCGTTTCTAATGTCTTCAGACTTAAAGAGATATTGTGGAGCTTTGCAGGGCTGCAAGCAGATACCATCAACAAACTGAGTGGATTATGTGTAGGAGTCGGTGGAAGCTACTGACAGATGAGACAGAGAGCAAGCGCAGCATGTTAAATGTTACAGGGGCACAATGGGCATGATTATGAACAGTGTATATCCAGCACACAAACCACACACTGTTCCCATACGGAGCCCAGAGCGACAGCAAAACTTACCTTATGAGAGACGAAAAAAAGAGATGGACAGATGTCCAAACAGAAGACTGCCTCCGTCTCCGCAGGTCTGAGAAACACAGAGGGGCAGGAAGATCCCACTGGGGCAGAAGCAACAGCAAAGGGAGAACACACACAGAGACAAAGAGAGAGGGGTTTGTTAGCAAAGCAGCAAGCAGTTAGTTAGCTAGGCAAGCTGCCTGTTATATCGGCCCGGTGCTGGCTGGAGGGCAGCACATTCTGGGAGTCACAGTGAAATACCGCACATAGAGTGTGTAGTTGAGGGTTAATGAAGCAGGTAGAGAGCAGCAGCCCCTGTAAGGGGAGGCCAGAGCAGTTAACTCATACCTCTGCCAGAGTAGCAAGTTAGCAGCAGAGTGGCAAGTTGTTAAAAGACCACACCAGCTATTTTGCTTTGTTCAGACATACACTGTAAATTTCAACTTTTAAAAAATGTTTTTCCACCTTATAGAGACTTAAAAGCCTTTAAAAAAAATAAAAACAAAATTTATAACCTTGTGGTTAGTTGGTAACATTAATTACTACTTAAAGGAGAAAAAAAAAACATACCAGCCTAACGCAAGGCTCTTTTGTAGAAGATTTTTCGACAGCAGCAAGCAATCAGAAAGCAAAGAAGTCTAATTATCCAAACAAGCAGGACTAGCTCTGTTTTGTTTAGTAACTCAGGACATTTAATCTCAGTTGTTGTGACATTTGTGATACAAAAAGTTGGTTATCACATCGACAGATGGTTGCAGCGACTGACATGCAGTTACTCTCTAAAGCGCTCAGTTCTTTTAATAATCAGCAGATAAATCTAAATCCACATTTAGCCACAGCTGAAGATCGCTGGCACAGAAGATTAAACCTTTGTGTCGGATTCTCATCAGCTGCCACAGTTTGTGAACCCATTCATAAAAAACACAAAACAGTGGCTCTTTTTGGGTGCTTCCCAGTATAACTAGATATGTGACCAAGTTTCACTTCTGATGACAAATGCTTTAAGAGTCAGAGCTGAGAGCCCCATCCTCACCACTAAAAGCACAAACAATGAATACAGCTGATTAATTATGAGCACAGCTTCAAATAATTCACTAATGAGAGGTGGGATATTAGTGTGAGGGCAGATCAAGCATAACTTTCATTGATGGTGAATCATTTTCTGCTTCCACCAACCAGTCCAAACGATACTTCATGCCCACGTCTCTCCAGATATAATCTTTGAATAACTTCAGTAATTACTCAGAATACAATAGCACAAATCAGACTGAAGAGGTGAAAATAAATCTAAGATCCTCACTGCCAGCTAGACTAAAAATAAATCAAATCCATCATTAGAATATCGATTGGGTCAATACTGTGATGAAACCGGGAAATCATCATTTCTTATCTTTAATCGATAATCTTGCCCCATCAATGTATCTGTTGTGGTTCTATGCATTAACCTAACTTTCCAGATTTACGGGAATCATGCACATACACAATTATCTGTACAACTGTAATATTCCTTGTGAGTTCAGGTGAGTTCAGCTGTAAATGTTGGTAATTTTGATGAAAAATATTAACAGTGAGGAACCTTGTTTTTGTATTATGGTTCAAGAAAGACATGAAAACCTACAGAAAACAGAAAAGGCCAACTGAGAGGATACAGTTCTCACTTTAATAGGTTTTAAAGTTGTGCACTGATTACATAGATTATAGCAAGAACACCCAAAAAGTGCATGTATCCTACGCAGCACTGTATTTTAATAATTTTAATTTTCCCTTTTGTAAGAATTGCCTACTCTAGTAAGAAGTACCTGCTAGATCACAGTAGATACACTGTAAAATAACAGTATGTTGTCAAATCTAGCTGCCAGTACTGTTATTTAACAGTGTTCATCCAAACCAAAACATCCTGTAAGTAGAAACAAATAGCCACACAGTTTGATGAAAGCATAGGGGTTCTCCATCCCGGGGAGGAGTCAGCAACCTTTACTATGAAAAGAGTCATTTTTAAGAACAAACATCACTGTCAGCAATTTGTGTGCAAAAGGCAATCATGCATTTTGGCCACATTTCGCTTTCCCGCTCACTGACGGCAGTCCTGTACTGTCTGACAGCTGCTGCCTACAGCCCGAGGCTCTGTGTCTAACTGACAGCAAACCATGTGACGCTTCTCTGGCAGTGAGAGGCGAGAGCAGAAAAAACGAAAGCAGATCACAGAGAGTATGGCGTTCCAGAGACTGAGTCAAAGAAAAGGACAACTCAGCCTTGTTCCCACACATACAGCTGTTCTCCCAGCTCACTTCTAACCAGACCAGAACCACATCACGGAGGCCAACCTGGTCTAAAATAGCCTCCGTGGCAGCTCCCTCCAGCTCAGCACGGAAACATAAAGCCTGCAAACGGGACGTAGGCCCTGGGAGTCTAAGCTCAATCTGTTGCATGCTGCAGGCAACACGACCGAAGATTAACCTGCTTCCCCTGCTGTTCACATTTGACTGCATGGAAGCACGCTTTCTAGAAAATTCAACCCAAGCATGAATGAATGCAGCTACAGCTGGGTTTGTGAAAACAGAGCTGAAATGATAAAAGAAATCATCTATCAGCTAACAGGTTCATGCAACTTTCTTGATAAGTGATTCATCCTCCTGGTCTGCATGATAGAGCCACACGCAAATATTTCTACTGTCAACAAACTGACCTGCACTCTTTGCTTTTTGACATTTTTGGGGGGGAGGTCATCTTTTCAAGGAGTATGTAAGAACAAGTGATCTGACAGACTGGGAGGGAGTGAACAGTCTTTGTTGACATATCTCATGTTTCCAAGAAATTCAACTTGTTTGGCAGGAGAGAGCTTGAAGGTGGGGGAGGTTCCTATAGCCTCCAAACTTTCTTCAGAGGCTCAGAAACAACACTTCATTAAAGTCATGAAGGTAAAGCAACAAAATTGATTATGATTTTGTTGCTCCTTTCTCCACACCTTACTTCAAATCTTAATTCTCATGCTGGCAGATCACTGACACATTTTAAAATGCCTAAATCATCTTCTTTTACTCGCATGGACTTAAGTATTTTGGGAAATCAGGTTCTTATACATATGATAAGCACTAGTAACCCGATTCCTGCACTCTTTTAGTGCAGGTTATATTTACAGATGCAAATCAAAGTTTTTGGAACAGTAAATCTGACAACCATGTAACTGTTTCCCAAACTCAAATTCTCCATGCTAAGTTGACTTGAGCCACTGTATGCATATTTTTTTCCTCGTGTAAAACATTAAACATATATATTTAACTGTTTCATTGCTAAAATTCTGTTGCTTCAGTCCTGTGGTTTGTCCCTAGTGTAACTGGAGGAGCGCACTACTGGCACAGTTGTAAAGCACTTTAACAATGGACAAACTGAAAGGGGAAAAAGACTGCATAACTACACCTGCCATTGTCTGCATTTCTGTTATAACACTTTGCTAAAGCTGTGCCTCGCAAGGGTCATGTGTGTTATTCATGTTTTTTTGGGCTAACTTGCAGGTACTAATTAATATGAGCAACAACAAGGGGCAGCATTATAATAGCACAAAGTTAAAAATCTATTTAAATTACTACACGGTCTTAGCAGGTGGGGTGCTGCGTAAGTAAAGTAGAGAGTTTGGGGATTTTTCTGCCCCCTGCTGGTCAAAAATCACCTGGTGCCGCTTTAAAGCGTAAGCTTACACATTTTGGTTGGGAATACGAAAAATGGCAAGTTTAATAGTCACTGCATGGATGTTTATATATTCATTACAGGCGGTGTATTTCTGATTATACTTAGAGCTAGATTAATAATAACTAAAACTAGTCTCTATGAAATACACTTGGAAACATTTTGGGAAGACAAAAAGCAGGCGATAAAACAGCAGCACTTCTTTCCAGGTGCTTGCATTGGGCAGTTTTCCCATCGCAAAGTGTTTCCAGAGTTCAGGGTGTGAACATGTGCAGACAGCAGGCAGGTGAGGAGCCTTACCTATTTCTCTCCGAGCCGGAGGAACAAACCAACACCAAGATCCTCCTGTAGCTGCAGCCTCTTCCCTTCTCTTTCACCACCTCCTGTCACGCTAACAGTGACATTCGCTTTATAAAAACAAAAACAAATACTCCTTTTTTAGGCTTCCACAAAGTGCGACATCTTGCAAGTTGTCTCCCAAGTCCTCCGTCGACCTCTCTCAGCCATTTACACTCCTCCAGCCACAGCACTGTTTCAACAAACTCCCATAATAACGGCGGGCTCGGTTCCTGCTCGGCTCGGTTAAAAAAAAAGAAGAAGAAAAGTAAAGTTATAGCCTGCACGCTGAGAGAAAGGGGGAAAAAAATAATGATAACGCTAATTAAACAGGAAAAAGAGCGCGTTTGTATTCCCTGGCAGGAACCAAACGCCGTCTGTGCTGGTAGGTGTACGGACGTGTCTTCCCCCCTCCGGTGCCTGCTGGCGTTTCTGTGTAATCAGATGCTGCTCACCACAATATCCATTCATCCTATTACAGGTTAACCCTTCACTGTCTGCGGGCGGCTGCATGCTGCCCTCCAGCGCTCTCACACATCCATCGCAGACTCTCTGACCAAGCCACTGAACACATAAGCGCAAACCACGCCCAATTACAAATACAAATATTCACATTTATTTCATAAAAAACAGCTTTGAATTTAGAACATTTAAAAATAATTTTAAAACTTTATTACCGTTTACATTTTCATAAAATGACTTTTATATATACATTTTAATTTTAAATCTCCAAACTTATACACAAATACAATGTACAATCGGAATATTACCAACAGTATATAAATATTTCGGGGATCTGTGCTGAATGGTTTACAAAATCTTCCTCCCAGGTGGAAACAGGTTTCATTATAACTTCTGGACATGCACCTGAAAGTACCTGCGACTCTGAAAACAGAGGATGGCTGTTACCAGAATCAGTGTGATAATGAATTTTAAACGTTGGTGTCCATTCCTGTATAGTTTTCTTTTCGACATACTGCATATTTGTGGCCCGCATTCAATTTAGATTTGACGTTTCTCATCTATTTTCTTGACAAACAGCGCCATCCTCAGGAGCAAAGCATAATCCCAACAACACAGGTGTGAACAGGTGAGACAGAATTCTTAGCAGTCAGCTCCCAAACAGCAACTGAAGTGATTTCATTGATCAAAGCGCATTTGAAAATAGACAAGCACGTTTCTCCATCAGCAAAAAAATGATACCACTTGAAGGAACATTAAACCATGCCACAAAGTGTGATTTTGTTTTTTGTTTTTTTAAATATGACTTTAGTTTAATTCAAAAGAAAGCAATGCATTATTTTAAGGAAAAATAAACACTTGGCTGATTAAAGCTGATCTTTCAGTCGACATTTCAGCAGGTTTAAGACAGTAGGAAAGATGGCAGTCGGTGGCCTGGGACCACAAAAGTGCACATGTTGAAATAAAGCCCCATCAGAGAGGAGTCAACAGGTGAAGGCAGACTCCTCTGGATGTCCTCACTGCTCCTCTGCTAACAGCACTCTGAAGTTCTTCAGCTCCCTGACGCTCGTGGAAATCCTGCACAGGATTCAGGAGGACACAGTTAAAATAATAAGTACAAAATAATGAAAAAAATACTCCAGTATGTTTTAACTAATATTAAACCCAGTTTCTCTGAGGCTACAATATAATATTCGCAATTTACAGAGAATTTAGGCAAGTTTTGCACTATTTTGATTTCATGTTGAACATATTTGTTTTAACTTTTATTTTAAATGAGTGTGAATTTCCAATAAGATCAGTACTCACTTATGTAAGTTCCTATTATAGAGATAAACTTGTTCTAAAGTGACAGACTAAGGAGTTTGATATTGATTAAACTTACTTTTGTATTTTGTAAAGTAAGCATTTAGTAACTCAAATAAATATCAGTCTAAATTTCCTGATAGATCAAGCACTCAGCTCAAGAAGGATTTCGCAAAGGAGATGCATCAAAGGCTTCTGAATAATAAATGCCGCATGCTCATTTATCATATTCAAAAATCATTTTCAGGTTTTAAAAGGGCTTCAGATACAATAATAAACTAACGCGCAGGCAACAAAAGCTCTCCAAGGAGCAGAGTGGGTGTGAGCTGGAACTAAGGAGATTTTTTTTTAAATATGGCACATGTATGACTTGATGTCCACAGCCTCTTTCTCTGACCTTCCGAAGGCATTGAACAGGGAGACTATCTCCTGCCGGCTGAGCTGGAAACTGGGTCGCTGGTTACTGGATTTGGGCAGAGCTTCAATCTGTCGCTCTGAAAACAAAATCTTCAAGGCTGTGCCTAATCCCTGGGTCTGTGACACAAGAGAGGCAGCGATCAAAACAAACAAAAACAAAAAAAATCAAGTTCATCTTTACAAAAGAAGCGCTACAAGCTAACGAGAGGCACTAAGAGGAAAGTAACAGGTACCTGCAGTTTCCCCCACAGGCGACACTTAAAGCACCCAACACAGTCCATGATCCTGGAGATGTTGAGGAAGGCCAGTCTGATATCCTCCTGACATTCACAGAAAACTCAGGTCATTTTAAATCTTGAAAGTTACCCACACAAATTAAAACTGCAACTCCAGTCAGTATTACTGTGTGTTTGCAGCAACCCCGCGTACACAAGATCACTCCCAGCAGCTTTGTTAATGCGATAAAAGGTTTCAAAGCATCGGCTTCCCCGTATCTCTGTATCTGCATTCACTCTGCAGCTAGAGCATTTTTTGATGCATCACTGTTTTTACAGCACAATTTCACGTAGAGTTCTAACTGGCGTGGCTAGAATACAACTTAATGCTTTTATGCAGTTAAACCAGAAGGTTAATTATAAATCATTTTGAATTTTATGAGCTCAAACAATCAAAAATATGGGTGAGGAGCATTCTGAAAATATTAATTAACATCCCTGTGAATATGTAATCAGTTGGTGCATTACGTCCACAATATCAACTTCAGCAGAGTTTGAAACACTTGCTGACCTTCAGTTTGGCTGCTTCCTTTTCATCCCCAGCAAACAGAGAAGCTTCATCAAAGTGCAAAGGGAAAGATCTAGAAAAGAGGAGATGAACGTCATCAAAACATTGCATGGAAGTCCAATTTTATTTTATTTATACAGCGCCAAATCACAACAACAGTCGCTGCAAGGTGATTTATATTGTAAGGTCGATCATACAATAATACTAATAATAATCTGCCGTGACCGGTTGCGGTAAAAGAAGGAAGACAGGATAAAAGATGTGCTGTGGAAGAAAGACAGAGATTAATAAAGAAAGAATTGTGAAGTGCGAAGAAGTGACCAGAGTTAGTACAGTGTTGTATTATTTAATTTGTTTTTAGCTTTTATTGTTATTTCATTTGGACTTTTTGTTATTAATTTAGTGTAGTTTCAAGAATACAATTTCTTTTTTCGGTTTAGTTTTTAATGTTTGAACTTGTTTAGTTTTTATTAGTTTCAGTGTTAGTTTTAGTCTTTTTAGTGATCATTGTAAGGAGGGCATATGCCAGAGGCAAGATTTGGGGATATTAGTACAGGTGTAATAATATAAACACGCTGAACTTCTTAAAAGCAGTTGACTCACAGTTTATAATAAACACAACTATCCATGACTTATCAAGCAAGTTATAATGACATTTGTATTTCATTTTAGTTAGTTTTCAAAATCACTCCAGTTAGTTTGAATTTTTTCAAAAGTCTATTTTTTATTTTATTATTATTTTTATTATTAGTGAACTACAACACTTTCTCACATCTAGTTGTAGTTTTCAGTTTATTTTTAGCTAACTATATTAACCTTGGAAGGGACTGTGATTAAACTGTTGGACTTTAAAAAGCGTTGCTGTAAAACCACAGGTGTTTTCTACTATGTCAGAATCTGTTGCCTACATTTCCCAAAGTGCAGAGTGCTAACAGAGCTCACTTCTTTCTAACACCACCCATCCACATCCACTTTTCTCATCAGAAACCATACAGTTCAGATGTTTACATTCATATCCATTTTGTGATGTTGTCAATAAGCTTTTTGACTCGTGCCAATTTCACTCTGGAGCATGACAGCGAGGGCAAGCGTACGGCCAGAGCCACAAGGAAAACTTCAGCCACGAGAAGTACAAGGACTCTTGCAGAAGTTGATCTGACCATCAAGTTGCCCTGATCTCAGCTTCATGGGTCAAATCCACAGCAGAACTAGGGCAAGATCTTCAAGCTGCACCTTGACAACCTGAGTGTAAATCTATATCAAATCAGGCTTTTCTAATTAGCGCACTTTGAGTGAAATTAACTGCTAAAAAACACAATATGGTTGATCTTTCATTTATAGAACATGAATACTAGGTATCAAGAAAAAAAAGGGCATGCTGTATTATACCTTTATTCAGTGAAAGTCTAACAATGATCGGTGTGGTCTGAGACCAACCTGGCCAGCTGCAGGATGTCCAGCAGCTGCTCCTTGTGTTTCTGGTCCTCCTCGGGTCTGCCCGTGTACAGCTGGAAGGATGACTGCTGGAAGAACGGCAGAACTTTAGCCAGTGCTCGCAGCTCTATCAGGTAAAGGAAGTAAAGGTTGCGGAGCCTCTTGGGCCCTTCGCCGACCGTCAGCTCCGAATCAAAACGCTGTCTGAACTCAGACACATTGTGACCCCACTTCTTCTGAAACCAGCTGTCTGAAGGAAAGAAGGCAACAAAAGTGAGTGTCAGTTATTTTGACTCTTCAGACAAAAGGAAAAAGAAAATGAACAAGGGCTGTTTTTTTCTGCCTCACCATCCAGCAGATATCTGGCACTCAGGTGTATGTTAATGCTGGCGTGCAGACCTGAGACAAGCCGGAAAAAAGCCCTTTTCTCCACACACTGGCCTGAGAGAGAAAGGCAGAGAATTTATCGAAAACTCGACAAAAAGAGATTCTTAAGGTGAAGCATCAGCTTACCTTCCAGCCAGCTGTAGAAGGTCCTCGCTGCAAACAAAGTACGTGTCATCAGAAATGGAGAAAACAAAACAAAACTGCGATTGTTTTAGAAAAATGGTGAGATATAACACTGAAGAATTCCTACCTTCACTTCCTGGGCTGCTCTGGAATGAGGTGGGATTTAGTGGTCGTTTGATAGTATATGGTCTGGGAAAGACACATAAAGGTTTCCTTTTCATTACAGGGTGGTTACAGTGGTGGATGTTGATAGTAAACATGGCAACATGATGTCACTCTATATACAAATCATCCCTGTGAGCCAAAGCTCAGGCTTCAGACTATTCTGATGTCAGAGGATATAGATGTCCCTAACATGGTCACTGCGGACACCTCTATGGCTGTGAGCATTGAAGAGCCATCCGCCTGCTCCTCAAAACTTGGCTGAAAGTGAGCTAAAGCAATCAATTTCAAACAGGAGATGAAGTAAGAGGTAACAACCTCTAAGTCCCAGTGTGAGATAACTGGGGA